TTACTGTTAGCAGCGCGTTACTGTTAGCAGCGCGTTACTGTTAGCAGTGTGTTACTGTTAGCAGTGTGTTACTGTTAGCAGCATGTTACTGTCAACATCACAGCTGCCTTCATGTTTTCTTCAGCCTACATAAAGGAAACAAACATAACGTAATGTGTGTGGTTTGGTTTTGTGTACACGGCATGTAATGGACCAGAGCTGTCTGAGGAGCTCAGAAACATATAAAACTTATCCATGTTCATCCCCAAGCAGCGTTAGATTCTTCTGACCACAGCTGCCATTTTTATTCAAAATGAGAAGTTTTGTGGGATTGTTGCAAAGCTCCCAGGACGTGGACGCAAAAGGTAATGCAACCCCTGATAGATCAGATAGTGAGGATGGTAGAACTCATCCTAATCCTGTGAAGCTGGACTTCCTGTTGAAGGTCCAACCCTTTCAGACTCAGCAGCTGTCACATGTTGAACCTTTACGAGCGCCACAGAAGAAGACCCCGAAGGCTGCACTGATAATAAAAACCTCCACAAGGAAAAAAACCAGGCAGGGATTTTATAAAAAGCTTGTTGACCAGTCCTGAAGTTTCTGGAGCTTTTTGGCTGGTCACAGCAGTTGTGTTGTTTTTGTTATTTAAAATAAGATGATGTGTGCTGAATGATGAATGAAACAGATTCACAATGTTCTGGTTGGTCTGCAGGAAGAGGCAGAGTTGCGCAGCGACGGCACCAAATCCACCATCAAGCCCAGCCAGATGTCTGTGGCCAGGATCACTTGCGTGAGGGGTCAGGGGCCCAACGAGGGGGTCCCCTTCATCGATGATTACATCTCGACACAGGAGCAGGTAGTTTTAAAGTATTAACCTTGAAGAGTTGTCGTAATCTCACGGGGCCGTTGGTTTTTCAGGTCGTGGACTATTTGACGCAGTATTCTGGCATCAAACCAGGAGACCTGGACGCTAAAATCTCCTCGAAGCACTTGACCACGCTGAAGTCCACCTACCTGAAGCTCCGCTTCCTCATCGACACAGGAGTTCGCTTCGTGGGTCACGGTTTGCAGAAGGACTTCCGGGTCATTAATTTATTGGTAGGCGATTTAGAACAGCTTTCTGCCCTACATATAAACTCAGTAATTATAGTTTAAACTTGTTTCTGTCAGCAGCGTGACATCAAGCAGATTAATTTTCTGTTAAAGGTTCCAAAGGATCAAGTTGTTGACACCGTCCACCTCTTCCATTTGCCTCGCAAAAGAATGATTTCTTTAAGATTCCTCGCTTGGTATTTTCTCGGTAAGTCCATATTTGAAAAAGAGTTGAACATTTTGGCTTTTTTAAAATTGGTTGATAAGGATTTACGTCAGAGCATCGTAAAACAATATCCATGCACCTGTCCTCGAAGTAAGAGAAATATACCTTGTACCCTGTACACCTGCTACACGGAGGGAGATTATCAAAGTCAAAGTTTCTTTATCTTACACACCACGTGGTGGAATGAAATTATGTACACAGGGTCCCAGTTACATACAACAAAAGTATAAAATGAAAAAGAAAAACATTAATAAAATCTGAGATATGAACTATGAACAACTAAAACTGCTCTAAGCACTAATGGTAAAAAAAACTAAACAATACACCGAACAACAGCAGCACGAACACGAGTCTGTGTGATCAGATGAGTATGAATGAACACAGCAGCATGAAATAGATCAGCAGCATGAGATCAGCAGCATGGATAATCAGCAGCACATATCAACAATCAAGTGGAATCACAGTGATTTTTTTCCACAGTGATTATCCTGGTTAGAGATTCATGAGTCTAACAGCCTCAGGGTAGAAGCTGTTCCTCAGTCTAGTGGTTCTACACTTAATTCTCCTTAACCTCCTTCCTGAGGGGAGCGGGGCCAAAAGTGTGTGTGTGCTGGGTAAGTGGGGTCCTTCATGATGCAGGTGGCCCTCTTCCTGCATCTGGAGTAGAGGATGACACAGGAGTGGATTTTCACTCCTGTCCTGGTCCCACAGAAAAAATCCTGTCCTGTCCCACTCCTGGTAACATGATTCCTGCTCCTGTTTTTCATTTAATTTTTAGGAAATACATTGAATTTCATTTGATCTTCTACCCATTCCTGTTTAAATTACTTTGTGTTGTGCAGTTTTATTTCAAAAGATATGGCAACAGGAACAGTTAATCTGTGGTGAAATAGACATTTATTTCCTTAATCCAAACAAAAACCTTCACTAAATATAAAACAAATAATCCATGGCCTGTAGTCCATATAATTTTTCTACGGAGTATCAGCTGCTGAGTCCCTGTTTCTGGCTCTTTTGATGGTCAGTTACAGTAAAAACAAAAAAAATCTAAACCAGTACATGGGTCACACCATGTCTACCTTAGATGTTTCATTTTTGGTTATTGGTCGGTTCCCGCTCCTCTCTGCTCCCGTTAGCTTTCAGTCCAGTCACGTGAGTTATAATGTTGATTCCGGTCCCGCCAGAATCCGGCCGGAATCACGTGACCGGTGGTACTCCCGAAAAAATATCCTCTAATCTGGAGGTGTAAATGTCTGTGATGGTGGAGACTTACTCCAACAGTCTGTGCAGCCTCCATGCCACACGTTGATGCTGGAGCACAGGATGCTCTCCACTGCACACCTGTAGAAGGAGGTGAGGACTGAGCTTCACAGACCAGCTCGCCTCAGCCGCCTGAGGAAGTAGAGTCTCTGATTAGCTTTCTTGATCAGGCTGTTGTTGCTGCAGCTGGTCCATCCACAAGACTTGACTTTAAAAGGGAATGTCTAAGTTTAAAATGAAGCTCTTGCACAATAAAAGTATTTGTTGCAGATGACTCTCAGCTACTACCACACCAAACGTCAGGAGTTGAAGTTATTTACGTGTTTCCTACGATCAGTTGGCTTCGGCAGCCATTTTGAATTGGGTTGTCTCCAGAAGTTTTTCTGTTGTAGAGGTACAGCCAATAAATATTTTCAAAGACTTCCATGAGTGTCCGATCAGTGGTGATATTATGCTGACACATCCAGGTTAAAGTGACGTTGCTCCATGTCAGACTCAGCAGTTCTTTGGTAAGTTCATCAGTGGGGAAAATTAAAAACTGGTTTGGAAAGGCCGTCAGACGGTCCCTGTTAAAAACAACGACAGACCAGCTAAACTTTAACGAACAGGACTTTTGGAGCGACGTCCTTTAATAGACAGACGTGCTCTGCACCACATTCAGTAAACGAGCGTTTCATACCAGCTGTTGAGCAAAACTATTTACACTTAAAATGTTTTTCACATTAAAAGCTTTTTTCTCATCTTACAATCTTGCAATATTATTTCTGTACGGTAAACGGAGGCCGAGCGGCTGGAATAGCGCCATCTCGTCCTTCCTGAGTGTCTTCTGTCTTGTACCAACAGACCTCAACATTCAGGGGGAAACCCACGACAGCATCGAGGACGCTCGCACCGCCCTGCAGCTGTACAGGAAGTTCCTGGAGCTGAGCCGTGGAGGAGTGAGCGACGACGTAAGGAAGGTCCTCAAGGGACTGTATGAAAAAGGCCGCCAGCTGGACTGGAAAGTCCCAGATTCTGATACAGGAGACAGTCAAGCTAGCACGAAAACGATACAGTCAGACGGAGGCTGGTGTTAGAACAACGTGAGGATCTACTCGGAAGAACCAGCCCGAGTGGACGGACCGTGTCCTTCAGTCAGGCGCCGCTGTTCCTCTGACGGGCGGAGCTGCTCAGAACGGCATCATGTACAGTCCACCTCAGCAGGTGGCAGTAACAAATCAAGTGACAAGTTTACAGCTCAAGATTTTTTTTACAGCGCTTAATTTTTTTTATATAATAAAAGTAAGTTTTAAACTTCAGTTTCTTGTTGCATCTGAATAAACGTGGATTCATTGTGAACGCAGGGAAAGATCAAATCGTCTCATCGTTTTGACAGAAGTCTGTTCTCATTTTGGCAGCACGGTGGCTCAGTTTGTAGAGCTACGGCCTCTCAGCAAGGTTGCTGGTTCAAATCCCAGACGGGGGGTGTTTCTGGGTGGAGTTTGCATGTTCTCTCCGTGCATGCGTGGGTTTTCTCCAGGTACTCGTTTCCTCCCAGACTAAAAACATGCATGTTAGACTGATGGTAACTCTGACTTGTCCCTAGGTGAGGGAGAGTGAATGGTTGTCTCATTTGTCTGTGATGGACTGGAGACCTGTCCAGCCTCGCACAGTGACTGCTGGATATGGGCACCAGTGACCCCAAAAAAGAAGCAGCGGGTTAAGATGGATGTTCTCATTTGACCCGTGTGGTCGAGTACTAAAACCTCTGGGACATTTCAAAGACCTCTGGAAGCAAAACGTGTTGACATCATTAGGAAGAAGACGGTCATTTCCTCCAACGTGCAGCAGTGATGTTCCATCTGTTAGCAAAATATAGGGCAGCTCAGGTTTTTTGTATTGGTTAAGATCTCACATGAACTTTTTTTTTTTTAAACAGCCTCAATCTGGCGACCAGTTTTGACAAGACTGACAAGCTAACCTGCTCTGAGCTTTTGTTTGGAGTGTGTTTGTAACTTCTCAACTTTTTGGACCTCATGAACACTGTTTATTAGACATTTAAAAAAAAAAAACCTCAGAGCAGTCTCGAGACCGAGTATGGAGATTTATGTAAACTAGAATTTTCTTGAAGGTGCTCCAGATGTGCAACAACTGGCCCATAAATGAGCAGAAGTTTCTGTAAATGGCTGTAAAGTGAAGCTGATGGCAGCTTAAGCTTTGAGTGATTCTACAGTTTGAAGACGTGATGAACCTCAGCTCCTCAGCTCAGGAACCATTCTACCTTTCCACAGAAGCCCACTTCAAAACATGTGAACTATCCCTTTAAGAAAAGTGACAACCACCAGTATTTAATAAAACAGCAACTGAAATATAAGATTTAACTAAATCCATTTTTCACCAAATGACACCGAGGTTTATTGTGAGACGTAGCTGAAAAATCTGCAGAAAGTGTCACATTTTATTTAAATAAAAACATTTTAATTTCAATATTTGATCGACATCATCATCGTTCCTTATGATCTACCATTAGTCTAATTAAAACAAACAGCCTACTGTCAAATAAATGACTTCAATCACAACTTCAACCTGTTTTCATGTCAAACTGCAGGACTTGAGCTTGTGTAGCAGCGCCACCTGCAGGCCGAAGCCTTGCACACCAACAGAATGATCCAAGAGTTTCAGATTATTATTCCAGCTGAGTTTAAAACAGACTCGTGTTGAACTCGGAGTGAAATAAATAAACTTATTACAGATTACAAACGTAACGTCCACTCGTCTGCAGGACGATGGATCAGCGCGTGCGGATTGAACACTGACACACAGCTGGTATTGCAAACAGTTTATTTGTAGTAAATGAATAGTGTGCCATTCAGTGAGGGGGACAAAAGAGACGGTTCTGGGACGGTCCATGTCTTTGGTCCATACTTGGGGGGGGGGGGGGGGGGGGAAAATGTCGAGGAGTCGGCGGGACAAGAAAAAGGCACTTGAGTTTGTTTTAGGACACAAAGATTACCGGAAGAATGACCGAAGCTTTCATTATGCCTGGCATCACGTACAGAACGCCCATGTGAGCACAGATTATAGCTACATATGTACAGAAAATAATCTGAAGAGCTGATGTGTCTGTGTGGAGACAAACAAAAGGTTGTCCTCTGACGCTGGACAAGATCGCGTCTTCAGCTAACCTCCCACAAAACGACGTGAAGTGAAAACTGACACGGGAGCTGCTGCACGAGACAAACGGGCCGGGTCCATCAGAACCCAGCAGCCTGGCCTGGGTCAGAACAGAACTAGATGAAGTGAAGCTGCAGGATTTGGTCCTTCAGCCTAACGGGTACAAAACCAGTGGAGGACCAGTCAACCACACCATGTTGCTGCCTGTCCAGCTGCGGACACGTCCAGCTGCGGACACGTCCAGCTGCGGACACGTCCAGCTGCGGACACGTCCAGCTGCGGACACGTCCAGCTGTGGACACGTCCAGCTGCTGCCTGTCCAGCTGCTGCCTGTCCAGCTGCTGACACGTCCAGCTGCTGCCTGTCCAGCTGTTATCAACACAAGCAAAGCTTTAGATTCGGGCAGAATCCTCAAACAACAACAACCATCCACTGTTTGGAGGAAACACTGGATGCGGGAGGTTGCTAGGCAACAAGCAGACGTTTCCAGCCACTGTTTGTTGGACACTTCCTTCATCTCCAGCGTGATTTAAACACTTCTACTCTGGTTCAAACAACAGATGGGCTGTGTGGTGATTCTCCAGCGCCAGGTTCGACTCTTCACTCAGAGCAGGAAAAAGTCGTTTTGTACGTTTAAACTGAGCAGCAGCTAACGCAGCGTGAGGCCAAGGTTTCCAGATTTAACGCTGCACACTCACCGATTTATAATCTATCCTGTCCTGAATCTGTGTTCACATAAACCGACGGCTCACAAAAACCGCACCGCTCTAAAAGTTCATGAGGAAAAAATCTACGAGCGCATTCCCCAACGGCTGAACGAACCCCCCAGTCAAGCCTACTGTGTTTATTTATCAAAACTCATAAACAAATCTGCAATATTCTCTCCACAATTTCACTAATTTAAAGTACTAAAGTATTTTTTTAATCTCAAATAAGAAAAATCTATGATCCGAACAAATAAAACGAGAAAAACACATCAATTCTTTTGTTTCCCAAAAACCTCAAAGGAAGACAGACTTGATGAAGAAACGTTACAAACATTAAAGAAACACGACGCGGAGCTCAGGAAACGTAGACTACGATAAGATGAGGGACGAGGACTGGCCAGGGGCCCCGTCCTCTACAGGGGCCCGCTGGACAAAAAGATCAGCCTTGAGGTATTCACTGGAACTTTGTTCTCAAAGATGGACGCAGAGGACATTTCAACAACCGGAGCCATAAAGCATCGATTAATTAGTTTAATTAGATTTTCTTCGGCTGTTGGACTTTGTCGTTTTATTAAAGGGGAGGTGGATTTTAAAAATCCCAGGTTTTCTCCTCGAGTACCATCCATTCACGACGGACATTGAGGTCTGTAGAAAGGCAAATGTGAAGTTTGTGACTAAAGGCAAGCACGAGCACATTTGTGTGCATTAAATTAAAAAAAAAAAAAAAAAAAAAAAAAAAACTTTAAAAAGCAAGAAACTGCGTGCAGGAGGAAATCCAGCTGAATAAATGTTCAGGATTATGAAAGCTTGTGTACAAAGAAGCGCTTCGTCTAAAGAGTTGTACCTCTGTTCCATGACAGAAGGGTAACCAGTATGTTTTAGTTAACACAGCACCCCCACCACCCCTCCTCTGGACATGTGGTGCAGGGAGACATTACTGCCTGAAGCAAGATGGACGCCTTGCAGAGCACAAAGAAAACAGACCTGTGTTTTTGGTAAATATGGAGTTACAGAAAGATCAATTCTGATTCAAGATTGAAAACAGGATTAAAAAAGTGTTTTTATGAAAACGCTCAGCTTGTACTTTATTTGAGCAAACCTCAGCGCTCTAATGGACATTCAGAGCCAACAGAGCTCGTTCCTTTCACTCCGTCTGCTGCCTGATCCAACTTCACTTTGATTTATGCTCAACTCTGCAGAAGAAAGAAGAACCGACGTTCACTACGTCAAGAGAAAAGTCCAAGTCCAACAACATGTGCAGAGTTTGGAGCAGCTTCTCACAAAGCTCCGACTTACAGTTTGATATGTCTCATTTTGACCCAGCGACGATCGACGACGGTCTGTAGTGTGGATTGAATGTCTACTACTCAGACGACAGAGATCCCTGTCAATGCTAGAACTACTTTTGCACTTTCACGCTTTCCACGTTTAAGGCATTGAAATGGTTCTCGGAGACGAGGAAAAACAAAAAAAAGACAAAACAAAACATCTGAGCTTCAGATCAGAGAGCTGACAGCGCCACGGCAAAAATAGAAAAAGTACTAAGAGTAGGATAGTGCACGATTGTTGCAGGTAATCACGCCAGTCTCTGGCAGACAGGAAGTGACAACAGAAGGGGGGGGGGGGGGGGGTCTAAAGATAGAAACGGTCGCCATAACCAGGACAGACATGGAAGAAGAGCAATTACAGAAGAGTGCGAGTCTGAAGGATGGAGGACCGACGTGGAGAGGTGGCACTACAGCTCAACTGACTGAAATATGTAAACTTGTATACTATTCTTCATTGAAAGGAGTTAGTAGGAAGGCTGGGAGGGGTACGGGGACAAGAGAAGGATTGGGGGGGGGGGTGTAGTGGATGGGTCTGACTGAGCCAAAGGTTTTCGATGTCAGGGGCAGTGTGTTCGAGGAAGCCTTTGGGGCAGCCCGTTGTGAGCAGCTTGGTCTTGGTTGTGGGAGGACGTGGAGGATTTGGAGGGACCTCTGGAGCTGTTGGAGTGCTGCGACGTGGGGCCAGAGGGGCCCCCGTCACTCTGATGGCGATGGCTGCCGCGGCCAGCGTTCCTGTCATGATGGGAACTGCCGTTGAACCGCTGACCTCCTGAGTGATACCCCGGTCCTTGGAAAGTGCGCCTGTAGCCCTGGAAAATCTACGGAAGGAAGAAAAGCCGTCAGTCTGTTGGATCAACACCGTCAGGACGTACACGTCTGGCAACGGCAGCTTTTCCATCTGACCTGTTTGGTTGGGGGAGGACGGGTTTCAGCGGGGGCACTCGGGGTCTGGGTGGGAGGAGGGGTCTCCTGTAGGCCAGGGCTGGCGATGGAGGATGACGTGGAGCTACAGCGGGAGCGATTTGAATATCCTGTACGTGGATGGTACACTGTAAAGAAACGAGGAGAGTCAAACAGAAGAAGACAGGAATTATTTATTTATTGTTTATTATTTTAATTTTACAGTTTACAACTGTCTGTGAACAGTCCAGGGATGAGACAGATCCATGTACAGTCGCATTTAAACTTAACGCCACCAGTTTCATAACGAAACTAAATGACCCAACAATAAACTGAACAATCCAGGACCGCTCACATGTCAGAGCCTGGCAGGAGCTCAGAGCTTGATTCTTCTACAATACGTTTGCACAACGTGGTACTTATTTCTAACAGAAAGCAAATTATTTTTTGTTATAACAGATTCAAAGTAAGTCTTCCAGATTAGGACCAGATTAAGATTGGGTTTTATTCTCAGTGAAGCAGATGTGTTCGAGAGGGGAGAAATAAAACACTTTGTACAAACAAACCGTTGAATAATAAAGTGTCGCAGGAGTTGGGAACCAAACATTGATGAGTCACACGGACTTCACGGCAACAAGACTCTGACAAGAACCGACCGAGAGGCTTGAACAGCAAATGAGTGACTGTAGGAGGAGCTGGTGGGCAGTCGACCGTAAAGAAGATGAGAGAAAGGAACCAAATGACCACAACAAGATCAATATTATACATTTGTGTGTCTAAAACAGTCCTTCTAAAATAGTGGGGAGTTATTCTTTCTTGTAAGTTGATCTATATATTTTTCATTTAATGTTAATAAAGTTATACACTGTTAGGCAGAGATGTGTTTATAATAATTTTATAGACAAATGATACCATTTACAGTCGCAGCGGAGAGTTGGGGGGGGAGCAAAATGTTTACGTTTTCTTGGGGGACGCAACAACTGTCCCATAGAGAGAGGGTGAGAAGTCGTTATCCTGGAGAGACTGAGCTGCTCCTCCACATTGAGGAGACCCCGGGGAAGACCCAGGACATGCTGGAGAGACCATGTCTCTCTGTTGGCCTGGGACACCTTGGAGTCCTCCCAGAAGAGCTGGAAGAGGTGCTGTAGATGTCTGGACCTCCCTGCTCATGCTGCTGCCCTCGAGACCTGACTTCAGAACAAGAGGAGGACGTCTGAATAAGCAGGAGACGGATGGACAGACGGATGTTTTGACAAACGATAGACTATGTACCGGTAGTTATTGAAGATTGCTAACTATGCTACGTTTTCTAGTTTATGCAACTACCGTGTTTCGGATTATAAGGTGCATTAAGTGAAACGAGTTCATGCTGACAGATTTTTTGAGCGCCATGTACCACATGGAATCTGTTCGAGGTCAGTAAGCACAACCGTGCGCCTTATAGTCCGAAAAATATGGTAATGTATTCTGACGAGGGGAACTCTCGGTGAACAAAAGTTTAATGTTTGTTCACAGACCGTCCTCAGATAACTTCATCACGTTCTCCTGCTGAAACCCGTAAAGGAAGTGACTGAACTTTAAAGTATGCTTTGAATAGTTAGGTGTGTCCTTTAAGCATTTCATGTCACAAACGTGTTCACAAAAGTTATCAATGGCTGCAGAGTGTTTTCAATAGGATTTCATCTGTGCACAAAACAGAGAAGTGAGAAAACAAAATGATGATAAACGTGTTCATTTATAACCAGAATGCCGACTCAAGTTCTTGTTCTCCTAAACTCTGGGGCCTCTGTGAGGTGGCCTGTTCAGTTTGGGACTTTCTGTCACACAACTGGTTCAGTTTTTATGTGAACCTGCAGGTTAGCTTAACTCAACCTAGTTTAACCTAACCTGCTCTGGAGCAACTTCACCCAAGCTAGGTTAACCCTTAGGAGGTAGTTTGTAATCCTTAGGGGGTAAAATATCAACCACCTTACACATCTGATTCAAAATACAGGTTTTTAAATAGTTGTTACACAATAAAACTACCGTAGTCAATCTTGTAGCCATCTACTAGCAACTCTTTCAGGAACTCTAGATATTAAAAAAAAAAAAAAAAAAAAAAAAACCCTCCACATTTCAGTTGAAACAACAACAACAACAACAACAACAACAACAACAACAACAACAACAACAACAACAACAACAACTTTATGGCCATTTTTAAAAAAAATTGAGAAATAATTTGTACACCCAGTGCTGTGGGTAAACAAGACTTGATCTTTCATTAAAAACCAGAGGACACTGAATCTCTTACCGACAGCAAACACCAGGGCTTACTGAGAGGTGCAGAATGGAGATCAGACCAACAGCATCAGAATCCAAAAAACAACTTCACAGATCATCACAAAGCTTTAGTGCCGTTCTCATCTCGTCAGAACCAACAGTTCTCACTCGTACACTCAGAGAGGATGAACCGGGTCAAGGTCTGAACCCAGACCTCATGACATCTTTGTTTACATCTATGCAAGTTCATCAAGAACATGTTACGTCTAATTACAATGCCCGACAAACAAAATGCTACTTCATCAGGAACATCCTACAAATATACCCACTGTCCCTCCTCTGGACATGTCCAAGCCACTGTCCCTCCTCTGG